AATATTAAGTACTTAAAAATTAACTTTTTAATTCCCGAACAACTCGGAATGTTTCCACGTTCACTATCATTATTGTCGAATTTGAGCTGATTTTTTACGCAATTATTTATATGGCTATTAAAAGTGGTTAGGCGAATGGTTGAGCGAGATAAATTTTGATTGGGCGCTCGCCCAAGCTCGCTTACTCCTAGAACCGCCACTGCGTGGGGGGCCACATTGAAGGTGTTTTACTTTATAAGTCTTTGCCAGAGACAAATCAAGATTTTTTTTAAATTTCATAATAATTTGTAAATCACTATTAAGTTTAAGAATTATTAAGTTATTAAGTTTTTTTATGTTTATATCGTATTTAAATAACTAATTTTGATCAGAACGCCAATGCAAAAATTAACTTGGAATTGCTTATACACATGTTATCAATTTTTCGCCTCAGGGTGAATGGAAACAAAGCCATAAATTTCAATTAAGAAACGGGATGCAGACAAAAGGTCGCTGGTGGTACCAATTGTACCACCAGCGGTAAATGTACAAAAAAATGCAGGTCTAATACAGCAGATGTAAAATGTTGCGTGTGTACGGTGGATTTTAAAAAATTAATTAATTAAATGCGATAAAAAACCACAATAATTCTTTTTTATTCAAAATAATCAAAAACTGCCACTTTTGCAGAGAAAGGATAATTTTATTTTTATTATAATTGACTTCTAAAAAATGTATTTTAGTCCAGTGTAATATAATAAAGATAATAATTCGTAAATAAAAAAGGCGAAAATGAAAACTAATAGTCTAAATCGAACTTTAAGCGAGTTTTATTGAAATACAAGCTAAAGATGTAGATACTATGTAGATAAAGATGATAGATAATACATGCTTAGAGAAAAGATTAATTTTAGAGAAATTTGATTTCCTTGAAATTTCATTAACAAACTGCAGATCACAATATTACAATAATGCTGCCGTGATGACAGCTCATAGATCTGGAATTCAACATAGAATAATGGAAAAAATCATGAAGCATTATTTGTAAATTGTGATAACCTTCCATTGAATTTAGTAGGAGTTACTGCAGCTAAACAAGATCAAATCGTTGCGACGTGTTTTGGAATAATTGAAAACATATATCTCTTTTTCTCACGTTCAACGTGACGATGGGAATTATTAAAAAATGCTTTAACGAAAACTATCAAAAGTGAACCATCGTCGATGGGCTAAAGAATATAAGAGAAATATTAGAAAAATTTGCAGAGGACACTACCACTAAAGGTGACACCAGAAGTGAAGCTGTTATATAAAATATACTAACTTTTATTTTCATAACTTTAGTTCATTTCCGGTATGAAATATTAAGGGGGATTTATCGTGTGCAGTTCAGATTTCTAGATTCTAGAATTAATTTTAGAGAAGCATTCCAAGATTTTGAAGCATTAGTGACTGAACTAGCCGAAATTTGGGACAAAATTTGTGAAGAGGCAATAGAAAAATGGAAGTTTCTTTGTGAACAATGATATAATTGTTACAACAAGACGTGTAAGATGACGCCACAAAATGCCCGGAGAATTGGCTAGAGATATTGGTCTTTCCACAGAAGTGAAATTTCTCGCGATATCTAAAGCGTTCTTGATCGCCTCCAACAAGAAAGGATGGAGGATAAGCCTTGTTCTATGATGAAGGAAGACAGAATTTACACGATTAAGGGACCTTAATTTCAAATTTCTATTTCTGCTCCTTCTGCTTTTTATAGTTCATCTTCTATCGGAGTTTTGCTATCAGCACAGCAATCCTGTGAACCTTATTTACTGCAGCTCTGAACAGTTGAACATTGCTACAGTTAAACCAGTCCATCAGGTTCTTAAGCCAGGAGACACCGCGTCTGCCATTGCTCTGCCTTCTACTAATCTTTCCTTGGACTTCAATAGGAGAAGTGTGTATTTCTGTCCTCTATGGCCCAGGTGTTGAAGCTTTCTTTTTTTCATCAGCACTTTGGCGTTAGTAATTCTATCGGCCGAGGGAATACGCAACATTCTACGGTAGTACCACATTTCGAATGCTTTTAATTTGTCGAAGTGGTTTTTCTTGAAGGCCCATGCTTCAGCTCCATACAAGAGCGTGGAAATACGCAACAGCTCTAAGATCTCTCCTCACCTAAGTTTCATGTTAATATCCCGACCCGTAAATAATTTTTACAAATGTTGATGTGCTTTTCCTTGTACTTATTTCGCTTGTTTCGTCACCCGTTTGTTATATCCCAGTTCCTAGATATGTCGACACATTCTCTATCATGGTGTTTGGCACCGGCACGTTTGCCTGGTTCAAATCTTGTGAAAATTTTGCTTTGGAGAAAATGTATTAAACAAGGATAATGTTGACAACGACCTTGCAAAAAATTGGAAAAAAAACATTTTCTGAACTACATTTTTTGTCTCAAATTTAAAGCCTAGTATGAGGCTATAACTTTAATTATTTATTAATTTGCGATTATATTTAACATCCACAAGGTGATTTTTTTCGATGACTAGTACAGGATCTAGAATTTGGAAAAAACTTATTTATGGTAATTTTTTAAATGACTCCTAGTTCCGTTGATATTAATTTGGCAGGAAAACGTTAAATAGAAAACTTGTAGGAAATTGAATTACAAACAAAATGGCATAAGACATTTCTACAAAATGTAATTTTTGACATATGACATAAATTTGAGTTTTTTTAAATGGAAACCATACCTGATTATTGCTTTACCGAATAGAGCATTTTATTACGACTTCTGTGTTATATCACATCGTTAGGTTTTTTTCGAAAATAAAGTGTCTGTGAACAATTTATACTTTTTCAATTTAGTTGATCGAAGTTAGCCATGGAAAATAGTATAAAACATACAGTATTGTTTCCATAGTAACAAATAATAACAGTTTGCTTCAGTATTTATTTTGACAACTACGTTCAAGTTGGCAATAACTTTATTTCAATTAAGACGGCTGCTCATTTAAAGTGTTTATTATAAAAAGCAAATTATACCAATAATACTTAAAATTTAACTCTAGAAACTTTAATTTTTACTGTAAAACATTTTCAAACAGTCCACTATTATTATCAATGCAAACATTGTAACGCTTTAAAACTGAATAAGTTGTTTTTCTTGCGGACCGACCATCAATATTTCCAATTGATCTAACAACAGCTTTTTTAAGTGCATTTAAATTGGAATATTTGTTTGTGTAAATTGTGTTTTTACGGCTCCCCACAAAAGAAAATCGAAAGGTGAAAAATCCGGTGATCGAGTTGACCATAAAATAGGGCCGTTTCGTCCAATCCAAGCCCCAGGAAATGTTACGTCCAGGTGATTCAGCACTTGGGAAAAATTATGCGGAGGAGCTCCATCATGCTGAAACCGGGTTATTCCCAAGGAATTGAAGATACCGACTCCCATTTAAGGTCCCTTCAAAAATAAATGGTCTAAGAATTTTTGAACCTACCATTCCGCTCCAAACGTTAAACCCAAATTTAATTTGTGGTCTCCTTTGCTAAACGTGGTGGGGATTTATTTGATTCCAAAGCTGTTCATTGTGTCCATTAAACATACCACAATTTGTAAATCGAATTTCATTGGTCTACAATATTTTATAAGGGAATTGGATGTCTTGATGGCATTTGTTTCGGATCCCTGTACAAAAATTCACACGCAGCTCCTCATTCCCTGGATCTAAAGTGTGGGATATTGATAATTTTGACAGATAGAATTTGTGTTTGTTTAAAACTCTCATCACGGTGCCTTGGGAAGGCCCGGATTCTGCTGCTCTCTGGTTGAAATCTATGGATTCTGGTTAACAATGGCCAATACGTTAACTTCCGCAGCTTCATTTAATACTGTATCTTCATTTCCTGACTTTTCTTGGCTGCGTAAAACTTGCATAAGTGCCCAAATTGTCGGATAATCGTTTGAATGTTGTCAAGGACGGTTGACGACGATCAAAATACTTCTCAAAATAGTAATCAGAGGCTCGTCTAGCATTTTCTCGTCTAGCAAAACTAACTTCTAGAGTTCTAAGTTCAGTTGAAACTTGAATGTCAAAAATTGACAGATATTATTATTATTTGTTGCTATGGAAACAATGCTATGTCTTGTACTATTTTCCATGACTGACTTAGATCAACTAAATTGAAAAAGTATAAATTGTTCGCAGACACTTTATTTTCGAAAAAATCCTAACGATGTGATATATCAAAGAAATCGTAATAAAATGATATATTCGATAAAGTATTGTTGCCATTTAAAAAAACTGAAATTTGTGTCATATGTCAAACATGACATGTCATGACAGTTAGTTTGAAGAAATCTCTTATGCCATTTTGATTGGAATTAAATTTCCTACAAGTTTTCTATTTAAGGTTTTCCTGTCAAATTAATATCAACGGAACTAGGAGTAATTTAAAAATTTGGTATTAATAAGTTTTTCCTAAATATCTCTTCATAGTCAATCCATCCCCACTAAATGGGGGGAGCGCTAAAAATGTATTGTGCCCCGGGCGCGAGTCAAGCTCGCTACGCCACTGGCAATTTTGACTTTCCACTTTCACTCCATTGCATTTCAGTTTAAGGAAATTACTGTTATGCACAAAGTAACTAAAATCCTGTTGGTACTATTAAATGGTAGTTCTAAACCCATTCGCGGAACAAAGGAATCCAGGATCGGTTCTGAAGAGGTCCTGAACCGAGCCTGCGCCCTAATTCGGTTCTGAACCGATTCTGAATCGCTACCGCGAATAAAGCTATTGTTAGCGTGGCGTTTTTCTTTAGTTTTGAATCTGAAGATGAGTGAGCGGCAGCACTGGATACGCCCTTGTTGCGTTCGCGTCCTCCTATGCATGTCGGTGACTGCAAGTGCCTATTTAGGAGTCGGGTTTTGTCTGGATGGAGGGAAAAGCGGGCGCGCGCAGTGCGGCAGGTCGCGTCCCTCAAACTTATCAATCGACCTGGAAATCTGGCAATGGAGGCAGCGCGCGTCCCGACGCCGGGGGCGCCGGCGCTCGCGCATTCCGCGCATCCAACAGGAGCAGCAGCCGAAGCAGCGGCACCAAGAGCAGCGATGTCGTTCGAAAGCGAGTTGTGTCGCTGAGCGATGAGTGTTCACGAGCATGTAAGCGCCGTAGCCGCCGCCAGCGCCCCAGCGTCGTTGTGCGACCATGTGTGCCGCCGCGTCCGCTTCCGATATCACGTAAAAGCGGTCGACGCGAGTCCAAATAGGCCCCTTCGAGCGGCCGAGTGGTGAGCGTCATGGCGGGCTCGGCCGCCGACCAGGCGTCGGCGTGCGTCGTGGCCCATGGCCATGCCTTTCAGAAGAAGACCTTTCACAAGCCCACGTACTGCCACCACTGCGGCGACATGCTCTGGGGCCTCATCCAACAAGGCTTCGTCTGCGAAGGTGAGCCCTCTTTCCCTCTAACCGTAAATAGGTCACTCATTGCCTCTAAGCCCATAAGCGCACCTCCGCTCTCATATTGACCCAATGGCTTAATGCCGCTGCTCGCATTCGCTTCCTTATTCCCCACACTAGGTCCGAACGCCTCCAAATCGAACCGATTACCCGCACACGAACAACTCGAGCATTATTAATATCTGTTTCACCAAGCTGTTGCAAATTTAGGTCAAGAACAATGCGCCGCTTTGAAACACGGAAAAACTCGCTCTCTATTCCCTCAACTGCTCAATCAACATATACACAGCGGTTAAATATTATAATCACTTTTGCGCCTCTGGAACATACTTAAACAGGTTTGATCCGCTACGTGAACTCCCCCAGTGCAGATCTTTTGTGCAGTTTCAATTTTTAACTCAGATTGTATAGCAATGTCGAATACACATACAGGGTAGTTCAATATTTTCAACATTGACAAGCAAATCGAAAATATTCGGTTCATTACTGAAACTTTTCAGGTGTCGATTTTTTTATAGGACAAAAAGAAAAAAGTGGCACCGGTGTGATGTGCTCATTTCAGGTGAAACTTCGGGTTTCAGATCTACAGAATATCTTTCGTGCAGTTGAAAATATGAAAAATTCATTAGATTAAACATTTTGTCTGCAAATCCACCCATTGATATGGGACTCCCTTTATGATAAAGTTCGCCGAAAAAGAGGAATCTGCAAGCAGATTTCGCCTGTGATGGCTTTGATGCTTTCTGGTATTTATTTATTTAATTTATTCAATTCGGTTTAAGAAATGAAGGACCGGTGGGCAAAACCATAGATGTCCATGCAACTTACTTGTGAGCAAAATGTACTAGTTTAACCAACTTCTATGGGCAACAGTGGCGGCGCTAGGGGTGGGCGCCCATCCAAAATTTGTCTCGCCCAACCACTTTTAATAGCAATATAAATAATTGCGAATTTAAAATCAGACCAAATTCGACAATAATGATTAGATCTGGGTAACACTGGTGTTGAGTTGCGCTATTGAGTTGTTACCGCTCTCTGAGTTAACGAGCAATAACTCATCGGTTAATGAGTTATAATTCATTTGTTAAAGCTCTACGAGACCCGAGACTGCAATTTTCACATCTAAGAAAGGGTTATTCACATTTTTTATGAGTACCGTTTTACTACTTTGTTCAAATAACTAAGAAAAAGTAATCTAGATTTTCCCAGCAACAGAACTGAGTCCAAAGAAAGTCCACGAGTTTTCTTGTAAAATCGATCTTTTAATTTTTTTGTCAGTATTTTACAGTAAAATGTTACAAAAAAACGCGGTTTTTCTGTTTAGATACGGTGTTGTTTAGAAATATTGACCTAAAAATTAAGAAACTTCAGTTTCCAAGGGTTTTTCAAATAAATGATTATAAACTTTCGCTTTTTCAGTTCGTGGAAATATTTTTGGAAAAAGACCTAGAAATAATTTAATAGGGTTTTGTCCATAATTTGAAGCTGCAAAAAGTTTTCCAAACGTTTTTGCAAAGAGGTTAAGGAGGCGAGTCTTCCAATAAAATTCATTTTTTATTTTTTCACAGAAAATACGTGTATTTTAAGTAAAACTAAAAAATAATGCAATTTTTGCGTAGAAATAATTGTTTAATAGAAACTTTGCTAGAACTGGAATTACCTGAAAATTTAAAGGAACTTTAGAAATCCTCAGAACGATGAGGGCAGCGGATTTTCTCAATTTTTTGTAAACTTTTGCTCCCTGGTCGTTTTTTCAAGATAGTCCTAATTACTTTCGGAAAACAACTGAATAAAATTATTTGGTTTTTGTGCCAAATTCGAAGCTGAAATGGGTTTTCTAAAGTTCCCTGCAAACCGATGAATGGGGCGAATTTTCTAGTAAAATAAATTTTATCGTTATTGGCTGCAAAGAGCTCATTATTGTCAAAAAAGAAGAGAATCATCAGAAAATAATGCTTTTTTGCGTTCTCGGTTAAATACTTTTAGTTTTGTGATCAGTGATGAAGAAAACCTTAATGGTTTTCTGAAGAAAACGGTAAGAATTTATTTTCGTTTTTGTCCCCAATTCGACACTGAAAAAGTTTTTGTGAATTTTTTACAAAGCCATAAATGTATCTTGTAATTTTTCGCGTAAAAGTGCTGCAGATCATCAGTGTTAAGCGACACTCTACAAAGTAGAGCGTTTTTGAGTAGAAAGTAAAGCAAAAAAGGAAATTCAGTCAAAACTTGAAAACTACATTTTTTAACAAACTCTACAGTCTTCAGAGGAATGGAGGTGACGATATTTCCAGATAATCTGTTATAGACTAGCTTATTCTGTTCGTTTTTTGATAGAAAATTGTTTGATTTTTGTTGCAAATTCGAAGCTGGAAAGGGATTTCAAAACTTTTTACAAAGTGACGAAAGATTCGAAATTTATTTCATAACTTTTCGCGGAAAATACCTTAAGATTGTCGGCATTTTTAAGTGAAACTTTAGAAAATTGAGCATTTAGAAGAAGAAATAACTTGACTAAAACTCGAAAATTCTGAAATTTGAAGAAATTAAAAAAAATATATTAATAAATGGCCTTTAAAATAAATCTAGAAAAAGTTTAAAAAAAGTTATCAACATTTTCCCAGCATCTAAATATGGGTTGTTCCCTGCTTAGACAAGAGCCAAATATTTTCATATAGAGGAAAAAGAAGTTTATGTAGTTCATATAGAACTACATAAACTTTCAAGACTGCCGGTGTTAAGGCAAGTTTTCCCAAAGAACAGTATGGTTGTGATATTCGTAGTTTTAATGTATGTATGTTTGGATTAAGGAAGGAATACAGCATTCTCAAAGATGCTGTATTCCGTTTTTCCTTGTAGATTTTTTTTCAAACACGGTGGGACCAGCAGTTTAAGTTTTGTTAGTGAAGGCTATAAGAACTTGAAAAGGACTGCAGAAACTAAAGCTGGGTTTAAAAACATTATTTAGTAAATTCAATTCATTTTCTAAAACTTAGAACGTTTATTTCTTTAGCAAACTATTGCCAATGTGTTACAGTTTCAATTGAAAACGAGACAAAGTCATTGCCATATACCACTGAGAAGCATGAAGTCACAAATAATCTAAAAATAAACATTTTAACAGATCTCACACTTCTTTTGAAATATTTTAGTTTAGTATTCCATGAAATTAATAAACTATGTAATATTGCAATGGCAGTACAATCTTCCAGTGCAAGATTTGAAACAACATTCAGTACTTTAAAGAGAATCAAAAATTATTTAAGAACAACTATGAGTCAGGATGGGCTTACTGACATAAGAATTTTGTTTGTTGAAAAACATATTGCAAACAATATATTTAGAGTTAATTATAAATTTATTGCTGCTATGCGTAATAATAGATTAATACCTCTTCTAATGTTCTGCGTGAATAACTATTTCATTATTGAATTATTTAACTACCTTGGTAAAGTGTTATTCAATGTATCTAATGTTGTTCATTAATTTAAATATTTTAAATCTACTTTCGTTTAGTAAAAGGAATTATTCAATTAAAAAAAATAGATTTGTTTATAATAGTTTTTATTACAATACTAGTGTTGTAGCGAGTTTCATTCAGCATTTGTTTCCAACATAATAACGTTTAAAAAATGTTCACAGTTGTGAAATATATTTTCGTAGCATTTATTTCGTTATTCTGAGAAAGTAGATAAAATCTCGTATAATATTTGTATTGTAAACTCACTTTGGGACACTATTGTCAAACTCTGTTTGCTCCTTATTTGACAAAAACATGTCTTCCGTCTCAAGCAGGTTTTCTTTCATAGAACTATTTGGATTCTGGAGTAGCAAGAAACCTGCGAATCCATCAAAACAACAGTTTTCTTCTTTCGCTGGGACTTTTCCGTATTTATTCTTTAAAGAATAAACTTCTTGGCTTGTCCTTAAATGAAATTCTGTTATCCGGCATTTTATTTTTAAGGTCTTGAATGAGTTGTGGTTTTTCTTCCCGTTCGGATATCTTCTCCAACTTTCTTTTGCAATATGGAGAATATTCAAGAGGAATGGGCATGCATACTTCTTCCACTATCCGCTCACACATAAACTATTTTTTCCCATTAAGGCAAATCTTTCCTTAGTAATAATTGGGGACAGGCATGGTTGTTTGCCTTGGTGATAACCTGGACATGTAGATATATCTCCCCGGGTCTTCAAATGGAAGTTTTTACATACCTTGTGCTCGCCTTAAAGCATTTGAGCGTGGAAAGTGACCGAGGCACTTGGAAATAAAGTGCCACTATTTGTATCATATTTAACTGAACAATTTTGTATTTATCGCAGAAAACAATACAAAAACCGTTTTTAATTTTCCTGAATTAGTTTCTGAATTACAACGCTTTTACGGCGCATTTTTGGGGCAAAAAGTTGGTAAAAATTTCCATTCCATCTCAAAATTAGTACCATATCAAAGGAATATTATTTATTTATTTTATTAGTTTTTAATAATTGAATAATAATTGCTCAAAATTTTGTTCGTTAGTCTACGCAATATTTCAGTTAGGGTGATTATCAAAATTGCCAACGTTTTATCTTAAACTTAATTTGATTAAAAAAATCGCGAGTTTCTGGAAACCCGATCCCTTTATCAATGTGGCACAAGAGCGTAATTTTGTCACTGCATTTCAGCTATCCATAAATAAAGTTTTTGTGTCGCCTATACAGGGTGTCAAAAATTTCAAAATATCAGCATACCCTGTACAACCTTGTCGTTTTCTGGCCAATTCGATCAATCATCTTAAAATATTATGAACTGATGCCGAGTACCTCATTTCTTATTTAGTAAAAAGCGATTTTCGGGAAATTTGTCGTTCTATTTTGACACCCTGAATACAAATAAAAAAGGTCTTCAACTTGACGCCAACGGATCCGTATGTGTTCTTCAATTTAATGAGCAATAAAAGCTCACACGGGTCGCTTCAAAGCTGATTTACCCAACATAAGTAGTAATGACTTTATAACTTTATTTCTCGTCTCAGTCAGTCGGCCATGGCTATTTTTAACCCATCACAGCTATTCATAGTTGCGCTTACACATCTGGAGATCCACATTTAAGTAATCGTTTTATGGCGGATTTCTTAAAATACATTTCAATTTCAATATGCCACTGTTCATCTGACCGAAGGAACACTCTGTAGAATTCAAGTATCAACTGTTTGAAACATGTATAAATAAAGCGAAACACATGTTTCCGGACACCCGATCTGGTTCCAGTAATTAATAAATGAGCAGCAAAGTGTTCCCGCAAACTATACGCATAGAAAATGTAGCATTCAATTGAAACATTTGAATGAAATTAATTAAAATGTCCATTTAATCAGAACATCGATCATTTTTCTGCTCATGAAAGGCAACTTTTGATTGACAGTGGTTGTTTATAAAACTTTAATAGTCCTGTTATTGTATAATCATTTTTTGCTGGACTTAAGAAAATTTGGGATTCGTAGCACTGTTTCCGTCATTTCCAACATACACTTACCTCTTGGTCCTAGATCCAGTGCTCTATCAGATTGCGAAAAAATGCGTCCATGGCCTGCAGACAGCCCTGATTTAACGCCATTGGATTTTTATCTACGGAGGAAAATTGATGATGCTTCCAAGTCGATCTAGCTGAAGCCAAAAAACACTTAAATTAACTTCAATTGGACTTCCACTCTCTTACAAGAATGTTTTTGAATGTTGTAGTATTTACAATCTTGAGAGATGAGTTACGAAATTCGAGTAGTTTCTACCCAGAAAGCGAAATTTTAATATCAACACTTGCACGATCATGCCAAAATTTCATGTTTTTCGTCCCGTTTTTTTGCATTTCTCAGAAGAAAAATGAGCAAGAACCGTCATTTTTACATCATTTCCAGCGAGAACTAAATAGCCGTTTTAGAAAGTGAACCATCGATAAGAAAATGTTTGCAGTTTTCTCAAAAAAGTCTTGATTTCAAGAAGTTTTAGATTTGCGTGTTTTTTTTTTGAATTGCAAAATCGACTCAAACATTTTTCAACAAAACAAATTTCCTAACGCATTGTCCGAACGCCCTGCATATACCAGGCTTATTTTCTCCAATTTCCAGTCAACTAATGTTTTTTTCTTCAGTTTGCAACTTCGTGGTGCATGAACGCTGTTCAAAAACCGTAATATCGCCATGTTCCAGCGTAGCATCCAGTCTAGTCAAGGTAAAGTAACCTGGAATAGATTTCGGGTTGTTTTTAATGCTTTGGGTTCCAGAACCCGGTCGGACACTGTTGGTCCGAAGCGCTCCATCAGAAGCGAAAATTTTGTAACGTTTGTCGAAAGCGACTCGACGATTGCGACTCAATCCATTGTGAAAGTAAGTAGAAACCAAGTCGTTTTTGACTTTGTTTATTTGAAAGTTGAGATGTTGAGATGTTGAAAGTTTCACTTCGGGAGTAGTTTTGCGACAGGGTGGTAAGTGAATTGTTTATTTTTCCATCAGTTTGCCAGTACTATGTCCATGTGGAGTGCCAAGAGTTTGCGGTGCCAGACTGCAAAGAAAATGCCACCTACACTCCAGGAAAAGAGTTGGAACAAGTGCAGCACACCCATCACTGGCGTGAAGGAAATCTTCCCAGCGGCAGCAAATGCGAGCATTGTAGGAAGACTTGTTCCAACACTGAATGTCTTTCCGGGTACCAATGCGAATGGTGTCGAATGACGGTATGTAAAATCCAAGGTTCAAATGGGGATTGCAGTTTTTTATCGGAATGCTGTTTTGTTTCTTGTTGCTGTATTTCATTTACATGTTCCTCATTTTAAACACCTTGGTGGGAGATTTTGCCTCCAAATTTGTACCCCTTGTCCACCCTTTTAACGCATATATTTAAGAGCATCGCTTCAATTTAATTTAAAAAATTGCAACTTTGAAGGCGAAATTTCAATACCTAACCAAAAAATATCCATCTAAGAGGAACTACTGTTGAACTGAATATACCGTACACTATAGGTACTATTGACCCATGAATAGGGGGAACTGCTATCCGGAACTTGAGAAATACAATTACAATAATTTCGAATGCTTTGGGTGTTAATGTCGTAAAAAAAGGTGAAATTTACTTAAGCCAGGAAGTATTAAATTCTATTTTYATWTACATTTTTCCAAAGAAAATATTAAACTTGCCATATGAAATCTTACAAAAACTAACATTTTTCAAATTGTAACCCTCCATTTTGCTCACAGACGCATGTTCAGCTTCGAACATAAGTATCACTTTCAGATTTTGCTGGATTAAATACATTTTTTTCAATAATTACTAAATTGCCCATGCTTTACGAAAAAGAGACGGTTTAAGTTTTTAGTCACCCAATATTTAAAAAATATATGAAAGGGCTTAAGCGGAAAAATTTACTTTTTCCAAAAATTATTTGTTTGTTTCCACCGAGAAAAAAATATCCCTTTTTCGTATTCGTTAAAAAAATATGGAATTATTTATTTAAAACTAGTGTTATTCTTTAATAAAACAAATCTGCTCATTTGGGACATATGTGGCAAGCCAATGGAAAGAGCTACTTATTTTTGAAGCTGAACACGTTTGGGTGGCAAAAATGAAGGGTTAAAATTTAAAAAACGATGGTTTTTCTGAGATTATAAATGGATAATTTTTACTTTTCTTGGAACAATTCGTATAAAAGTATGAGAGGGAGGAAGCTGTTGTTTAAACACTGAAGAAACTCCAATCAAAAGAGATTTTGTTTTATAGTAAAGTGTGTACTAAATACTGTAACGGAAATGGCCTGGGGTACTCACGTTTGGAATGGGGGATCGAAATTCATGGTATTTCAGTAAATGGGAGCCCCATTTGGGCCCCATTTACTGTCAAATATGACACTGACAAGCGGGAAGTTTCGCACCTGTTCTGGAGATTTCGAGAACCATCTGGGTTACCTGGAGGAAATTATGTAAGCGACGACGAGAACCACACAGGAGAGTGAAGTGACAGCAACGACCGGGTGCAGAAGATATTTAACTCCGCGAGTCGGAAAAGCGAGTTTTCCGCCTGTTATTGTTATTGTTTGTGAAGTTGATGGTAATTTTGAAGTTAGTTTGTTCCTGTTCCGTAGTTAAAGTTATACCGAGTGGAATAAAAGTTGGAAGCAGAAGAAAGAGTTTGATACTCGGCCATCCACGGTACAATACTTTTAAATAAACACTTGATTACAAAAGAAAATCTCTTTTGATAGGAATAAAAGTAAGTGCTGATACATACTGGCTTAAGTGAATTGCACTTTTGTCGACTCGCAATTTCTCATTGAAGAATATTTTTTTAATTTTGCAGTATCGGTAACTACATTCAGTACTTCATCTGTTATTAATAATAAAATGCAATATTTCGAAAACTAAACACTTTTGGAGTAGACAACTTTATACAAACTGGCCCTTATTTTTAATACCGAATAAGACAAAATTATCAAAAATGGAGGTTTCCATTTGAAAAAATAGATTTTGGACGGTTTCCTCAACCTCATTTTTTTAACACTTTGCATTAATGGTTATGTAATATGTATTATATAATATGTATTAATAGTAATGTTGCCGAAATTCCATGAAAGTAAGTCCGGTTCAACAGAAATGCGACTCAAATTAAGTAGCACATTCCCTTATAGGACAAATAACTAAATATTCGAGTAGCTGCATCTGTGATTTTTTACATAAAATTTGAAATATATCAAAAACGGTTCGACTTAGGTATAGGATATTATACATAAAATATATTTACAATTTCGAGGATAATTCAAAAATATAATAATATATAGAGTGTTTCATTGAAAATAAGCAAATTTATACCCACTTCCGGTACAACCCGAAGTGTGGCAATCTTGAAAATATTTTAAATCGCTTGCCCCCAATGACTTCGGCACACTGTCCAATTGTCAAATTTCTACTAAATACTAGATATTGATCGCGGTGGTTCTCGGTGAGACACCCTCTATAAGTCCAATTAAAATATTTAAATACACTCGCTTTCAAAAGTCTTGCACACCCCTAGTTATCTGGACATTTTAAAATTTTGTAAAACCTTGCAGAACCCGGTGTTAAGACTAGATTAAAAGCTTTTAAAAAACTTCAAAATGGATTTAATGTCAATGAATTATGTCAATCAGTTATAAAACGAAAATTACAGTCTAGATGCAAAAATTTAAAAAATAAAAAAAATGCAATTTCTAACGAACAACTGAAAATGAAAATTCAACATAATTAATATTCAGTATTTGAGCCTTTACCGGCGAAGGAAATGGTTCGATGATGACTGCAAGAGGACATTACAACATCTAACAGCACCTAATATAGATAATATAGAAGAATATAGACATCAAAAAACAGCAGCTTGCAGAATGGTGAAACGAAAAAAGAGGGAATACCAGCTATCAATAATAAGGGACATAGAAGAAAATAGACAGAATAACAGAACAAAAGAGTGTTTTAGCGAAACCTCAAAATAGAAAGCAGGATACCAACCCAGAGCAGAAAATTTTCTCACAAAAAAAGAATGGAGAACTCATAACCAACGAAAAGGAGATTCTAAATACCTGGAAGAAATACTTCTATGAACTGCTCAATGATGAAGAAAATGCAAATACGCCATCAACAAATATACCAACGGCCGAAATAGAACCACCGCCACCGTCGTACGAAGAAACAGTGAAGACAATAAAAAAAATTGAAGAATAACAAAGCTTCAGGCAGCGACAGCCGAATGCATAAAATCTGGCGGAGAAATACTTCAAAATGCCATACATAAACTTATACAAATTATCTGAAGGACAGAGTCGCTGCCGGATGAGTGGAAAGAAGGCGTAATCGTCCCTATACATAAAAAGGAGACAACATTAAATGCACAAACTATCTCGTGAAATAACTCTTCTGAATACATGCCATAAGATACTCTCCAACATCCTGCTAGAGAGAATGAAACCATATACCGAAGAGATTGTTGGGGACTGCCATTGTTGTTTTGGATGTAATAGGTCCACCGTAGACCAGATTTTTAGCATTAGACAAATAATGGATAAATGCTGGGAATTCAACAGAAAATTCCACCAAGTGTTTATTGGTTTCGAACAGGCATTCGACACAGTATTTAGATCAAATCGTGGCACGCAATGCAAGAAGTTGGATTCCCAAAAAAGCTTAGGTACATCGCTGAGAAAAGTATCTATGGAGGATACGCGATGTAAGGTAAGAGTGAGACAGAGTCTCTCCGACTCCTTCAGTATCAGTAATGATCTCAAGCAAGGTGACGCCCTCTCATCTCAACTCTTTACCATAGGATTGGAATATGTAATTAGGAATTCTAAAATCGAGAAGTCAACTGCTGTCTTTCATCAAAAGGGATCAAACCTGCTCCTGGCTTTTGAAGACGATGTCGATGTGATTGGCAACAACAGAATCAACCTCAAAGGTTCCTTCATAAAGTTGGAAAAGGAAGCTGAAAGGACAGGCCTCAAAATAAATGAGAACAAGACCAAGTATATGTACCTCAGTAGAAATAATCGGAATCCAGATAGAGTAGAACAAAACTTCTCAATCGGAAACTATAACTTTGAGCGGACAAGACAATTTAAATATCTGGGTTCACGTATTAGTGAAAACAACGACATCACAGAAGAAATAAATAACAGGATACACACTGCAAACAGATGCCTCTGTGCTCTTCAAAACCTAATAAAATCTAGAATACTTACCGGAAAAGCTGAACATATACAAAACAATTATAAGGCCTGTCGTAATATATGGATGCGAGACCTGGACCCTAACGGTTGCAAGCGAAGACCGACTTAAGGTCTTTGAAAGGAAAGTGCTAAGAAAAATATTCGGCCCAACTAGAGACGAAAATACAGGGCAATATAGAATAAAAACCAACCAAGAACTCCACACTGATACCAGCATAATAAACGAAATAAAGGCCAGGAAACTGTAGTGGGCAGGACACGTAAAAAGAATGCCAGATGATAGAATGGTAAAACTGATGTGGGAGGAGGTTCCAGGGGGAAAACGTCCATTACGCCGGCCCCGCTTCAGATGGATAGATAATATTGCAAAAGACCTAAAAGCCATGAAGATCGAAGATCACCCCGATCGGATGCTTGATAGGGAAGGATGGAGACGTGTGGTTGAGTCGGCAAAAACCCATCCAGGGTTGTGAAGTCACAAATGATGATGATGATAATGATGATGATTTGAGCCTCTACTTCTTAACAACGCATTCACACGTCTTTCATTCCAATAATCAAAGTATTGATTACTTCCTGAGGGATATTCCTCTGTAGCAGCAATAATAAGTTCTTGGGGATTTCTTGGCGGATTATTCCGATTGAAAATGGCTCTTGATACATAATCTCAGACGTGTTCGATGGGATTCATGTCAGGTGACAAAGCTGGCCAATCTAATCTTGTGATGTTTCGGTTTTCTAATACTTCTTGAACAGCTCTCTTGCGACTTGGCCTGGTATTGTCACCCATGAAGATGGACTGGTCCCCTAATTCATCACGTAGGGGTATAATTCTATGAATAATAACATTTGCAAGATAATATGCACCTGTCATCGACCCCGATATGTAAATAAGTGGGGTTCTTCTATTGAACATAATACCCCCCCAAAACATTTGTGTTCCACCGCGATATGGAGCAACTGCAACGGCTGTATGAAGCCTATTTCGACGTCTTGCTTCTCTCCAAACTCTTACTCGGTAATCATCGCTTACCAATCCGAACCGCGATTCATCGGTAAAGCGCAAATTTCTCCACTCTGCCAATCGTCACTTTTGATGATTTCGTGCCCATTTGTAAACGGGCCCTTCGTGGCCATGAGTTAAAAAAGGAACTCTTAAAGGCCTTCTGGACCGCAATCCTGATTGTAAAAGTCCTCTCAGATAGTAGCACTGGATATCACACGGTTATACGTTCTCTGGAACTGAGATCTTATATGAGTGAGATTGGGAAATATAGCGATCTTCTCGTATCGTGGTAACGTGAGGATGACCACTTCGAGGTCTGCTGTTCACTGACCAGTCTCTTCATAGCGTCTAATAGGGTGTTTTCATTGTATCAAAAATTCCTACAAACTGAACATTAATCTATGGTAATATACAGGGCGAGTCAAAATTTGCGTCTATCTCTCTAGGCTCCCTTGGGGAGTACGAGAAACATATGGAAAACATTTTTTTCGAAAATTTCTAGAAGATATTAACAGTTGAAGATCGAATTTCAACTTTTTTATTAAGCATTATTTTGAAATGGTTCCATGTTTCATTATTCTTAATTGGTAGTATTTTAGAATACTCAAGCATTCAACAAGAAAAAATACGATCTTTGCTTCAAATTACGAAAAATTTTTATATCAAAAAAGTTCTCTTCTACAATTTTTTGATGAAAAGGCACAGCAGCAATGATGTTTTTTGTCTTTAACAGATAGTTAGCCCAACAGGTGGATAGCCCTTGTCAATCATAACAATAATTTGTCAAACTGTGACTTACTTTGAATTTCCTTTCACGAATTTGCGGATATGGGATTAGTTCAGGGAAAATGCTACAGTAACATGACGGAAGCTTAAAGAACTCACGCCAACAAAGGGCGAGGAGAGTGGTTCCAGGAAGGTAGTGGACGACAATTGATGTTCGGGTTCCAGGCACAGAGGGACAAGTATTGGACATAATCGACTCAGTACCTTCCAGGGGCACTCAGAGCACAATAACTGACACTTTCCCACGCACCAAATAAATACCGATAAAGGGCTACATTCCTACCACGTTTGTACGATACACACAGCACAAGGAGATACAAATGGAGAACGAGTTAATTAACTGAATACGAGAAGCTGCTTGATAAGAGTGGATAATAAGGAGATTTCACAGGCACTAGCCTGTTTGGAGTTAACCATTCAAATGTTTGGTGTTGTATGGTTTATTTTCACACACCGATATTCGAGGTTATGAGAACAGGTTGACATTTCGTCAACAAATCTTGTTGAATTTACCGTTTATCCTTGTCTATCTTATTGTCAGTCTGTATAATTCCATGGTTACCGGAGTTTTAAATAATTACGAAACAACAGGTATTTGCGCAATGTTAATTAAGCAGATTACCTTGAAAAACATTGCTGCCGTATTTCTGATATAGTTTTTTGCAACTTTCTCAGTTTTTAATAACAATTAATTTATTTTACTATTTTTTCTGTACTCCTATAACAGCGCCAGACAACACCTCCAGAGGAATGACGCCAATTTTGAATCACCTTGTATAGAATTTCACTCATTCAACTTAACCTAACCTATACACATGGCTGCTGTAAAAGTAAAATGAACTCTTAAATTTGTATTTTGGGCATAACGAGAACAATATGGTAATATCGGATATGTGGAATTGAAACTCGAGGGTTCTTTGTGCACTGTACAAGGTAGAATTTGCCCAGAACACAGACTACGATCGAAGGCATATCATATCTGCCTCATCATTAGCTTTTTGTTCGTACTTTCATTAAAATGATGCTCGCAACAAAAAAACATTGATTTTAATTTAGGAACATCACGTCTAGCTGCTTTGCACCATAAAATTTTACGTGCATAATCATAGGGAACGATTAGAAAGAGTTTGTTTGGAGCATTTACAGAGGTATTCTTGCATCCTGGCACAAAACACCACTTATTTTGTGATCCATACATGTCACTATTTTCCATTATGCAAGATAATAATAATAATCAATAAAATATAATGATAATCACAATAACTTAAGTAATAAAACAAAGCTGCGAAAACAATAAACTAAACACGAGACACTTTGTTGATATGACCTGCTACGTCACAATCGGGATAGGTAACCGACGATACGGATTCGTCGTTTTTGGCGGAGAATATCTGATTTGAATTTAAATTCGCTTTAAAATTATTATGGAGACTTTTCTGGCAAAAAAAATATATCAGTGTAATGTTTGCCATAACTACTTTCTATATAACAACATTAAAGAAAAAGTGAAAACCCTATTGTCCTGCTAACTGTGCTTCTAAGGAAGTTTAGCCTAGTGGAATTATTGTGCCCAGAAAAACCTTCTTGCCACAGTGCAATAATTGTAGTCCTATCAAAAGCTGACAACTTTCTTTCAACACGATTCTTGCACGAGTCAGATACTGATGCCGGCTACTAGTGATCAATATAAAGGTGCAATTTTTGCAGCATCACAATTTTAAAGCGGTGACCAATTTTTTTTGGAAATTCCACCAGTCTTTTACTTGTAAACAAGTATGTTTCATTTACCAATAAAACAATTTTGTATAAATTAAACGTATGTAGTAAATACAGCGGGGGTGCAAGAGTTTTGAAAGTGAGTGTATATACATCTTACTGTAGATATTTCAATGGTGTGGTACTTTCGTTAGAATATGTAAATTACACTACGAACTTGAAAATGAAACTACGATTTATCTGGATAAAGATCTTCTGGAACGGAAGTACGGGTCAGTTTGGAATCTTACAAAATAAGTAGACTTGTTAAATAGCAGATTTTTGTTGTTTCGTATTGATTAGTATTATTTTAATTAAATTATTATTATTGTTATTGTTATCTCTTTTTACGGCTATATAATAGCAAGACTTGCAAGACCAAGACCATGCATGCAACAAACAACCCAAACCAGGCAAGTCTTGGTCTTGCTCTTGCTTTTCTCATTACTAGTCACCTATTTCTACATTTTATACTAATTTGAAATGGTTTTCACGTTTAAATAATGATTAACACCTTAACTCTCAAAAGTTGACATATTGATCCACTTCTGTTGTTACCTTAACATCACTCTTTCGGTTTACTCAGCAACTCGAAAGCTCAGTTCCATCTTGATTCTTTTCGGCTTGAACAGGACACTTTTTCCATCAGTTGCTATAAGATGAATTCCTTTCAGTGCCATGCTATGTGCCACTTGCAAGTAGATAGTGAGTGCACGTTTGGAGTATTAGGGCCGATCTATCTGCCTCCTCATGCAGTCAGCATTCCGCGCACTGAAGTGCCCATGGAAGCCATCATTGGAGTGACCGTTCGTCGCAAGGAAACCATATCCCGTAAGTCTGCAAATCCTGTTCTCTGCATCTCTTTTGGAGCGTTCTGTTGTAAAGCGCGCAGCACTTCTGAAGAGTTTAGTAGCGGAGATGCCAGCCGGTACAAGGACTCGGAGGAGAACACGCAGCCTCATGGCTCGGCCAAGGAGAAGCAGGACAAGCAGAAGAAGGGCGATGAGGAGCGGGATGAAGGTGATGTTTTAATGTGTTTTTTGGCGAGTTAAACTAACGGGCTGGGGTTGGTTGGGTAGAATTCATCAAGGTGTTTGATGGCGACAGCTCCTTGCGCAGACGGTTGTTTAGAGTGATAGCAGTCAATAGGCAGGCCGGTCTGAATCAGGTCTTGGTACAGGCCCTGCGGGCTTTTCATATAACCAAGGACCCCGATCAGTTCTACTTAACAGACTTGTATTCGGAAGACGAAGATGTGCTGCATGATCCGACGCCAGTATTGAATCTGCACCGGAAGGAAGGAAAACGACCGGCAACGTTTCTGAGATTCAAGTAATTGAGCTTTTCTAGTGGATTTTCTCGGGTCACGGAACTGATGTTACAGGGGCAGAGACAACGACTCTGGAGAAGTTCGAGTTTATCCCGGCAAGTTGAAGATATCACAGGCATTCTGCACCATTCCTGTTGATTCTAAGACGACCGTTGGCGATTTGATGAAAGAATCTCTTGCGCGCTTCGACCTGGATTATCGGTTCGAGGAGCTGCGCTGCCTGGAAGTGCTTTTGGACAGAGGAGGTAAATGGTACATGCCCATCAATTTAACGGGGGGAGTAATTTGGATTTTTCATAGTAACCGAACGGGTGTTATCATGGAATGAAAGACCCTGGGAAATAATGAAAAGCCTCGGCCACGACAGCATCCGACAAATGGAGTTAATGCGGTTCTACTTGCAACTGAGGAAGGACCCGCATGGGCCGAATGTGGCCCTTTTTATTGGCAGTCTTCCGCCCAACCTCTCTGAGCGACTTTACGAGAACATCCTGACGGATCTGCTGGGCAAAGGTAGGAACCCACTGCTCTTAGATCTAGTCTTGCAATGTCCGCATTTTCCAGAAAACAAATTCCTCAAAGTCGGCCCCATCTACTACGAATATGGGTCGATGGTGGTCAATTTCCAAGACTCCGATACTGCAGTCCGGGCGCTTTACATCCTGCGGAACGCGCGGCTGGATGAGAAACAACCCTTGCTTGGCAAGTGCAAGGTTGCACAAGTTTTCTCCTAAATTACTGATATGTTTCTGCAGTGATGTTGCTGCCGAACATCGAAGAAACGATGATTCCGAAGGAAGTCCATCCGTTGCTGGTGTTCGTCAACATCAAATCCGGCGGCTGTCAGGGCCTGGAGCTGATTTCCAACTTCCGAAGACTGTTGAATCCATACCAGGTCTTCGACTTGGACATTGGCGGCCCGTTGCCTGGACTGTATGTGTTCAGGAATATCCGAAATTATAAAATTCTGGTTTGTGGCGGCGATGGTACGATCGGTTGGGTACTGCAGTGTTTGGACAATGTGGGGCAAGATTCCAGATGCGATTCTCCTGCTTGTGCCATAGTACCTTTGGGAACTGGTAAGTTACTGCAGAATTTTAAAGTGTCTAATGCATTAAATTTTGAAGTCATTTGGGCACAAGCATTTTAAACCGCTTCTGAGTTAAACTTCTTCATTCCTCAAATTTTACATTTGTGCATGTTTTTCAATCAGTAAAAACACTTTTGAGCAAATTGTTTCATTGGGAATTAGAACGCCTTACAACAACGTGTCCCGCCAAAGACCAAGTCGAACTTTACGTGCTTCACACGGTTAGCAACCTAAATTCTGGTTTTACTGCAAAGACCTAACTGGATGACCTAACAAGATGAAGGACTAAGTTGTGTTTTTGTTTTAGGCAATGATTTGGCTAGAGTTTTGCGTTGGGGGCCCGGTTACACTGGCGGGGAAGATCCCCTTAATTTGCTGAAAGATGTGATTGATGCGGAAGAAATTCTTCTGGATCGTTGGACGGTGGTATTTCATCCAGAAGAAAAAACAGACAAACCCGAAGATAACGCAAAACAGGTCAATTCCACCGGTAAGAAGAGGCAAAAACTGTGCAGATTGAAACTGACCAATGAGCAAATTAAAAAAGCAGGTCAATCCTAAGTCTATATAAATGTTGTTTTGCTGTAAATTTTTTATACTAATTTTTGATTGTTTTGCTTTTAACCAAACTAACGTGGTAATTGTGGGGGTTGTGATTCTCGTACCATCTAGTTGCCCTAATTTAAGCATAAAGAACTAACGATATGAACGATCGAAAGGTTTGGAGTTTGTTTTATTTTCTCAATTCACCAGTTGGGCACAGTATTTTAGCAATCTTACTGCAAAACAACATTAGTATAATTAGTTTAAATTGTGTTAACTTAAATTGTGGTGTTTTATAAAAAAAAGCAACTGTGCCGACTTCCAGTCAGCAAATCTGTGAAGTTTTAGTGGGCTTTTCCTTGGACTAGTAAGAATTATTTTCGGACTTGCCGTTGGTCAAACATGCTTATCCATATGTAGATTCGTGCCATTCACTAGTAGCTTGCTTAATTTCAGCGCGTTCATACCCAGGCACTGATAGAATCAACATATCACCACTTTAAATGTCTAGTGTACTTTCGCTTACCATATAGAGCAAGAATAATTCTTAATAGTTCGACAGCGACTAATATTTGAGCATCATAGTAACAACAGTAGTACAGAGTGAGTTTAATTGACACACGATTGATTTGTTTGCGCTTGGCGAAGAAAACGTCCATTTGGAACTCAAAGTCGCATGTTTCTCCAACATTTGTACTTTATTTGCTTTTTAAGAAACGACGATGTTTCATCGACATTCAGTCTAGGCCGGGGTTACACCGTGTTGCGCTATTGAGTTGTTGCCGCTCTCTGAGTTAACGAGTTATAACTTATCGGTTGAGTTATAAGTCATCTATTGAAGCTTTACTGAGGCTGGAATTTTCACATCTTTAACATCAAAAAGGGCATTAACATTTTTTCTGAGTAACGTCTTACGACTTTGTTCAAACAATTAAAACAAGTCAACTAGATTTTCCCAACAACAGAACTGAGTCCAAAGAAAGTCGACTAGTTTTCTTGTAAAATCGATCTCTTAATTTTTTTGCATAAAAGATTCAGTTTATCAGTATTTTACAGTAAAACGTTAGGAAAAACGCAGTTTTTCTGTTTAGAGACAGTGCTATTTAGAAATATTGACCTAAAAGTGAAGAAACTCCAGTTTGCAAGGGTTTTCCAAATAAATGTTTATAAACTTTCGCTTTTTCAGTTCGGGGAAATATTTTTGGGAAAAGACCTAGAAATAATTATTAGGGTTGCTAAAACGGGAATGACCTGAAAATTTAAAGGAACTTTAGAAATCCTCAGAGCGATGAGGGAGGCGAATTTTCCCAATAATTTTTTGTAAACTTTTGCTCTTTGGTCGTTTTTCCAAGATAGTCCTAATTACTTTCGGCAAAACACTGAATTAAATTATTTGGTTTTTGTGCCAAATTCGAAGCTGAAATGGGTTTTATAAAGTTCCCTGCTTCTTTCTTTGGACTCAGTTCTGTTGCTGGGAAAATCTAGATTACTTTTTCTTAGTTATTTGAACAAAGTAGTAAAACGTTACTCATAAAAATTTTTAATAACCCTTCTTGGATGTGAAAATTCCAGTCTCGAGTCTCGTAAAGCTTAAACAAATGAATTATAACTCATTAACAGATGAGTGATAACTCGTTAACTCAGAGAGCGACAGCAACTCAACAGCGCAACTCAACACAGTGTTACCCTGGCCTACACCAAGCCATTTGCGTAGCACTGCGCCAGCTAAAAATTCACTGAGTTACCCAGGCCTGATTGATTCCATTTCAAATACCTTCCTCCAAGCATTTCCTCTTTTTAAAAGCATCAGTTGAGAGGCTCCTCTGAAGATGAAACTTGTATGCAATAAACCAACACTGTTGATTTTACCGCGGTTGAAATCAATTGCATTTTTCTGTAACGGGCTTCAAACTCACCAGCGCTCCTTCAGTCAAATAAACCGGGCTCAAATTCACTTTGAAACTCCTGCGCTGCTTGTACCTACTGCCATCTAAAAACCAGCCAATCAATCCAGGTCCTTCCTTATAATACTGAAACAATTTTCCATACAGTGGCTGCAGGTTCAACGAGCGAAGACAACTCTCAGATCCTGGTGATGAACAACTATTTCGGAATCGGTCTGGATGCCGATCTGTGCCTGGACTTTCACAATGCCAGGGAGGAGAACCCGGGCAAGTTCATCAGCCGCTTGCACAACAAGAGCGTGTACGTGAAGATGGGCCTGCGGCGGATCGTGGGCCAGGGGAAGGTCTGTATCAAAGATCTGCACAAACTCGTGCAGCTAGAAGTTGACTTCAACCGGGTGAAGTTGCCGAATGTAGAAGGAATCATTGTGCTGAACATTCTGAGGTGATCAGTTGCGGCGTTTGATGGGTGTGGGTTGTGCACTAGGCAAATATGTTGCAGTTGGGGCTCAGGGGCCAATCCATGGGGACCGCTGACCGGCGATGAACGATTCCGATGTCCCACCCATTACGATGGGTTGCTGGAGGTGGTGGGCGTGACTGGCGTGGTCCATCTGGGACAGATCCAATCCGGTTTGAGTCGCGCTGTGCGAATTGCCCAGGTAACCATTACCCCAATTCGAGCAGACTCCGCTCAAAAACTTGCTGTTACAGGGAAAACACATCAAGATCCATCTGCGCTCTGATATTCCAGTTCAAGTGGATGGTGAGCCGTGGATTCAAAGCCCATGCGAAGTGGTTATCTTGAAGTCCGCTCTAAAGGTAAGGACTTCAGATATTCGCCTCTTTGTGTAGGGGGTAGTCCACGGTTTTCAATAAGTTAAAGTGAGCTCAGTGTAAAACAGTCCCACCCAACCTCAAGCATGGAAAAGGCGAAAAAGAGACCAGTTTTTTACATCACATCGGGGGTTATACGAAGAGAGACCCCTTCTTAGATCGCACAGAAAAAGCGACTGAAAAAAACGTTCATATAAAAGACTTGTGGTTGTCACCAAACTATTTCTTTCTGTTACTTTGAAGTTTACAGGGTAGCTTAAAATAAAGTTATGACAGTCAGGTTTTTTTAATTAAGGAATTAAGGAATATTAAAACACTATTTTTTCATGGGCCAACGTTTCGGCTATATTTAAGTCTTCCTCAGGGCTCTGTGAAGTTAGTACCATATTTCCACCAAATGTGCAGAAAGGGCAACATACCGTTCGAGGTAGGTAGGTGTTTTTTTCTTTTTCTGCACATTTGGTGGAAATATGGTACTAACTTCATAGAGCCCTGAGGAAGACTTAAATATAGTCGAAACGTCGGCCCATGAGAAGAAAGTGTTTTATTTTTGCCACCATCTATTGACCGATAAACTCACAAACCTAAATAGGCGTCTTTTACAGATTATCATCACGATCACTAATTAACCCCAACATTAAAACAGATGTTCTATTTTTTGGTTTTGTTTTGTTCTGACCTCAAATTTTGCCCGCACCAAGATATACGTTGTTTCCGAATGCCATTGTTCTTAACATGGCTTGTCGGTTGGATGCAAAACAACCATTTCGTTGTTCTTTTCTTTAGAAACATCACCAAAAATTTACTTAAATAAATGTTTGTCTTCAGGCGACAATGTTGAAGAAGAAAAAATTCAAACGGCGTGGAACTGAACCGAATTTGGATCCGACAGCGGGCGATGGTGAGAAGGAGGGGGCACAGCCGGGACAAAGAGAACCAGGACCGACCAATTGGCAGAACCAGACTGACGATGTGGAAAAGCCATCGAACAGTCAGGTGGCCTCAAATGAAGATTCGCAACAGGCGACATCGAGTGTGAGCGAGTCGTTGCAGGCAACTTCCAGTCAGAATCAGTCGACAAACAGCCAAATTCACTCATAAAACTGATTTGTGATTTACTTTCGTTTTTGGGCTTGATGTGCTGATATCTCGGTATATAGACGGTTTTCTTCAGTTCAATTAGGTATCCGTTATTGATCTCAGTACTGATCCCAACGCTGGCATTTCCATAGTTTAGCGGGGCAATCGAGCGCGGGATGCGAAAAACTATCATGTATTAATTTTATATTATATACTTAATTATAGGTTGTTTGCTCGTGAGTCATTTTTGGCGGTTTCGTGTCATTAGAATCAGATGTAGAGCATAAAATCGGGCATAAACAGCCAAGTATACATTGTAACACTGTAATCTCGATTACGTTATTGTATGGTACTTATTACCAAATCATTTGCACATGTTTATTTGGAGTTGTATCGCATAGTTAATGTGGATGCGACCACTTTAGTCTATATATTTTGTATTTTTATTTATTAATTAGCTGATGTTAACCGACCATTTAGACGTCCCATTCCTTCCGTAACTAAAGATATTTTTTGGGATAAAGACCGCGCCACTTATACTGATCGAATCAGCTCATTGCACAACTGTTTGAGGCAATGTGTCGGCGGTTTAGAAGTGACTTTAGTTAGAACTTAGCTTTCCTTTAAGGCCGTTTTGGTGACTAGAAAAAATACTGAATTAAGTGCCAAGGCTTAGCGTATTGGATAAGCGCCCTTAATCGCGTGGATGGGAGCCCGGAGTCTTAACTTCGGGCACTCATCAGCACCGATTCGCGAT